TATATATTTATTTATATATCATTATATTCTTTATGGTGCTTAAAACACCACTTTGTTAAAAAACGAGTATTTTTTTATAAATATCATTACATTAATATTTTAGATATGATGCATTTTAAACTCTACTTTTTATTTGACTTGATATGTTTTGTTCATTCATACTTTTTTATGTTAAATTCAAATTAATAATTAATAAGTTGAGTAAAATGAAATCTTAGCTCATTTAAATGATTTAATTAACATGTTACATAAACATATATTAAATATGATTTCTAACTAATTATATATAACTCCAAACAAATAATTGAGATAGAGGAATAAAGGAATATTCATTTGTGATAAGTATTATGCTTGGTTGTTTTTGGCAATAGTTTTTTTAAATAATGAAAAAATAGGGAACGAGTATTTAATGGATGCTTATCGGATATATCCATTCAACTCTGTGCGAGTTGTCCACACTACCTGCATGTGTATGCCATTGATATTTAATATTTTAAACATTAATCATTAAATTATTGAGCAAAATATTTTCATTTTAGAATAGTAAGTTATGTAGCATAAATTATTGATATGTAGCAAGAATTATTAATATGATCATGATTAGATGTAACATTTACATTGAGGTAGGTTCGAATTTCTGTAATGCACATGCTAAAACTATCATTCATCTTTTTTTTTTTTTAATGTGATTACATGTTTCACATTATCTTCTAAATTGTGACTTGTGTCTCTCTCTTTTTTTTTTCTAACCTAATATGCTCCATATATTAACTCATTGGTCTAGAATAACTCTCATGAAAATGCTTATCCTAATTCTAATGTTGATGTCGGTGATGATGAAGTTGCGATTTTCGATGATTTTGTCCATCTGGACCCTAGGGACCGAGAGATTGTTAGCTTGTGTCTATTGAGAGTTGTGAGGTTGGTAATGCTTTGGATACTCCCGCTCGTCTTAGTGCTTCTTTTCCTGATGGTATTGATCATGTGGATAAAAAATGTTGATGTCTCTTATTGATGTGCCTATATCTGTTATTTCCAATGATGCTTTGTTAGTTCATCTTGCTTGTAAATTGAGAGATAATGATGTGATGCATGGTGACTGGTTAGATGATGACAATTCTTCATTTGGTGGGGAGAAAATTAATGAGAAATAATTGGATTCTCGTGATAACTTTGATTTAAATTTTATTTAAATTATTGACGATGATTTTTATTTTTAAAGATTGGTAAGCGTATACGATGTAAATCCATAAAGAAATGATTTTTCGTTTTGGATTTGGCCATTTTTATGTTGTTGGGGTATGGTTGGGGCTGGCTTGTTTCTTTGGATTATTGTGAGTGTTGCTTTTTGTTTTTATGGCTGGACCATTTTGGGGTTTGGTTTGGTTGGTGTTGTTGGGGTCATGCCGTTGTGGTTGTTGATTTCTTTTTTGTGGCCCGGGCAGTGATGAGATGACTTTTTGCTCACCATATGGACAAAACTGTGGCTTGGTTTGTTTAGATTATTAATATTTTTATGTATGTTTCTTTGCTCTACTCTTTGACAACTTTTTCTTTTGAATCAATAACTTGGCTAATTTCTATGCGAATATTTTGTTATAATTTTCCTAAATGATCTATCTTATTAAGCATAAGGGTTTGATTGACTTGTTAATTCTCTTGGTTGACTTCAATCATTTACAATACATTATATAATTATCTTTGTATCCCTTGGATGGCCTTATTTCAACCATAGGATGACCAATAAAACTTTCTCTTATTAATGGGAGACTTTTGTTCATCCAAATCTTTATTTAAAGATTTTTATTTCCCTCTAATTATTTATAAGCAGCTCTATAATTCCACTATATAAATATTTTACAGATTATGTTGAGTATATATCTTTTTCATTACCAAAAAAAATTGAGAAAAAGAATGATAATTATTTCTGTCGTCTTCTCAACAGCAAAAATGATGACATCCTGAGCACGAGATGTTAACACCGTCCTTTTCCTTGCCTGGTTTTTTTTGTGTGGAAAAATCACTGCCCTTTTCTCTCTTCCTTCCTATAAAATCCCACTCCGTCCTATAAAATATCAACGTTCTGCGGTTTACATCTCCGAACTCGCTCCTCTCTAACGGCCCTGAGCCGGCAACCGGCAAATGGCCTTATACATAAGGACGAAGCGGGTGACGGATCCGCTAGACGAGCGAGTCCGCGATCGCCTCCGCGGCGTTATGACTGGCTACGCCAGTAGCGGCAGCGAACATGACGGGGCCGTCGCAGACGACGGCCACTCCTGCTTCTCCGACCTCATCCATGACTTCCTCGAACCACGATACACCTTAGACGAACGCGATGAATCCGGCTCCGGTGAGGATTCAGATTCCGATAAAGGCGCCGCCTTGGAGAAAGCAGCCGAGCAAGCAAAGAAGCTCCGGGAGCTTCTAGACCCGTCGCTGGAGTCCGATTCTTTCCGCTCTCGGCTTAAATCGGATGTGGAAGAGGCGATTCGGCTAACTGGACCGGGATTCCGGCGTGGTGTGATGGGGCGGCTAAGGGAGAGGGGTTACAATGCCGGGATCTGCAAGGCGCGGTGGGAGAGCGCCGGAGGATTAACGGCGGGAAGCTATGAGTATATCGATGTCATCGATGCGGATGCGGATGAGGAAGGGGATCGGAGGTACATCATTGATTTGGGATTCGCAGCGGAGTTTGCGGTTGCACGGGCGACGGAGGAGTATGAGAGGGTGGTTGGGGGGCTGCCGGCCACGGTGGTCGCTCGGGCGGAGGAGGTTCGAGCAGCGGTGCGAATCGTGGTAGAGGTTGCCCGCCGGTCGCTGAAGAGCCGAGGGCTGTGTGTGCCACCGTGGAGGAAGAGGAAGTACATGTTGGCCAAATGGCTGGGACCTTACCGCCGGACGTTGAACGAGATCCCGGCGAACACCGCAGCCGAAGGAGGCGGTGAGGTAAAATGCCGGGCGGTGGGATTCGGTGCGCCGAGGATCGCTGCCGTGCCGAAGCCGACGGTAGCGGTAGAAGAGACGTCAAGGTCATTTTGGTAATTGTGCTGACGTGTCGCTCTACGAGCCGGCGAGCACAGGGAATCGTCTCGCCGTAGTGAACATGACGGCGGTGGTGGTTGATGACGTGGGAAGGCTATTTTGGTAATAATAATGCTGATGCGGCGCTACGTGGCGGTAAGCACAGGCAATCAGCGCATGTTAGAATAGAAAGTTGTCGTGGAGGGATGATTTGTACCTAATTGATTGATTATGATATTGTGTGTAATGAGTAAATTCTTTTTTGTAAAAAAATTGTATCTCACAGCGTGTTGATTAAACTTTAATTATGATAAATAAAATAATAATTATTTAAATTAAATATAATAAATATATATTAATTTAAATTCATAATTAAAGTTTAATTAAAATACTATTACTCTCGTATATTTTTTGCAAACCTTCCCTTAAACCTGTCCTGCAAGTTATTGCACGAGCCGGCTAACGTACGCTGGCGGAAAACAAAACAATCTTATACGACAAAATACGTATAAGTAATGCTGTACGAACTTTGTATGACATAATAAATTATATACAGTTGTTCGTAATTACACTTATTCAGATAATGTGGTATGAAATAAATAGTAATTGACTAATTTCTTCGTAATAATTAACGTACGGGCTTCTTATTCACCCTCTTAGGTTTTTTTTTTTCTCTATGAGTCGAAAGAGACATATAGTGAATTCTATGCGTTTATTGTAAGGCAGAGCATGATATGATTAATTTATTTGATTTTTTGTAGCATAAGTGACTTTGGAAGCTCGTGAGAATTAGGCTTCGTTTGAGACAGCTTTTATATTTCTTCTCAAGAAAATTTTTTAGTATAAGAATTAAAATTTTTGTAATAGAAAGTCATTTTAAGAAGCAATAAGAAGTCGTCCCAAATGAAGTCTTAGATTTCATTTGGGACAGCTTTCTTATTACTTCTTAAAGTAGTTTTCTTGTACAAAAATTAAAATTTTTTATACTAGAAAACTGCTTTAAGAAGCAGTAAAAAAGCAATTCAAATCAAACGAATGCATGAATTGATTCTATTTGTGTCAGCTTTTCGTATGTTTTATTTTTTAGATAGTAATCACAATTTTATTTGGTTACTATTTCTTTATTATTTAAAAATCTTTGTGATGGAAAGTTGCTCTCTTTTATTATAATAGTGAAGTTAATTTTTTAATAATAATTTCACAATCAACTTTATAAAAAGTTACAGCTGTCACAAACAGTTCCTTTATTTCTAATTGTATATGATGGTGTAGGAGGTTTCCTCAGGATTATCCGTTTACATTGTTTATTTAGATACATCTATTAGAGAGTTTTATTATGTTTAATGACTAGATCCGTAAGTGAGTCAATATTTGATGAACAACTTGATTTTGATTTGATCAATATTTGTTTGAGTTTAAAATTTAAGAAATTTGAATGTTTTTTTATGGAACTTGAATATTAAGTGAATTAAATTGAGTATGGTCCACCATGGTTATTCATATTCATGAGCCCTTGATCCTCCACCTATTTACGGGCCATGTCATTCGCAAAATCTATAAATAGAGCCCCCTCTCTTCATGAAAATGGACCCCTCAAATCCTAAGGAAAAGAGAGAGAGATCGGAGATCACTCTTGCTTCCTTGCCTCCTCGATTATGACATGCTTATAATCAAACCTAGCAGCTTAACGAGATAAATCTAATATAATACAACTTTTTATTGCAACTGGGTCAAACCCTATGGCTTTTTCTTCCATTTTCTGCGTTAGAATATTTTCTAATATAATACAACTTTTTATTTATACTTTATTTCTATACAATACAAAGACACTAAACTCAAATCTCTTAAAGCAATTTTTCTAGCACGTGACAATTAAAATTTTATATAGATATCTTATTATTTCCACAATTAATATAAATATCTATAGGATTTGTGTTGCATGTTAGATATAGTCGTTAATTTTGTCACATTTATGTCATCAGCCCCTCCGTCCACGTCGGCAGAATCTTAATCCTTAAGGCTCACGTGCTCGTTTTAATAGAAATGAGCTTGGATCGGACTGGAGGCCCAGCCCATTTCGTTAGAAGTTTGTAGCCCGAGAGGTCAGGGTAAAATCCGGTCCGTGTTCAATGAACCTTCGGAGGTGTCCAGGTTCAATGAACTGTTAGCTGACATGCACTTTCACGATTTATCAGCTAAAAAAAGTAATGTATTGAATCACAATTATTGCCTTTTGATAAAAATAGAAAAAGTTTACATTAGAATAACATAAATATAATTTATATTAAAATAAATTTAAATTATAATATTCTGTTAAGCTCGTAATCGAGCATGGATTGTTATGAGATCATAGTCGGTGATGATGATCGGAGAATCATTGTTCGAGGATAGTAATCAAAGAATCGTATTTAGATGACGACTGGAGGATAGAAGTTGAGAGATACTAGTTGAAGAACTATAATTAGGCAATAGTGGTCGGAGGATCAATATTCAATGTTACAGGTCGAGAAAATGTAATTGGGTGACGTTGGCCTAAGGAATATAGTTTAGTGATGGTGGGCAGAGGATTATAGTTGGACGATGGTACTTGAGAGGTTTATTAAATTATAAGAAAAATCAATAAAGATGCATATCACTCAATTAGCCATGCTAGAATGTTATGATATGCTGTATTAATATTAATGCCAGTATGAGTTCAGTTATATCTATCAATCAATTTAATGTACTATCAAATAAATATCATCATGAGTACACTTATGAAAATTAAGGTATGACATGTAGCTTTAATTTGATATATTCTTTCTAACATATATTATTTGTCATAGCTATTAATCTTATCTTATATTAATTATTTATTTTCACATATAGCTTTTAATAATCATTTAAGAGTCATGACTCTCTAATAGTCGATATAATTTGGTCAATCAGCTAGTAGTTATAATTAGAATTACACCACTAACATTTTATTTAAAGAAAAGTTTGTCGATCCAACCTCCTATGTAGGCTATTATATTTTAAAAATCAAACTGTATTCATTATAGTGTTAACAACTAGCCTTCATTGCTTACATGCAAATGAAATATTTTCTATGCATGTAAGTCAATATCATAAATAAAATGCAATATTAAAAAATACATAGAAATCTACAAAATTTACCCACTATACATTTACTTCAAAAAAAAAAAAAAAATCATAACTTATAATTTAATCTATGAAAATTCAATAAGTTCATGTCAAAATGCTAATATTGACAATATCTACCGAAAGTTGCGGTGAAAGTTTTATTAATATAAAATCATCCTCATTTTTAGCAACAAAATACAAATTTGAAAAAAAAAATTATTGAAGTTAGAAATAGGATAATGATTCTTTATAGTGAGACGAATAAATTTTCCAACAGTGCCGAGTGACGAAAATAGCTCTACGGCCTCTAAATCCTCAATTTCCTTTTCTCTCCTCACTTTCTCTTTTATTTTTGTATTTGTTTTCTCTCATAGACAAATTAATGAAATCAAAGTGCTTATTTAATAAAACATTAAGTAAAATGAGCTATTTGTAAAAATATTAATATAATATTATATTTTAATCAAAATTTTTAGTATAAAATTCATATACATATTTTTGGGGCATAAAATAATATAAAAATATTCATAAAATAACTTATTTTATTTAAAAAATTTTGGTGAAATTGGTTTGCAAAATATATACCTAATGTCCCCAAAATCTCGACTAGACTAACATGTGTTAATTTTTTAAGGATTTGTATTAGCACATCCACCACAAACATCAACAACAACATCAAGCCTTTATCCAACTATGTGGGGTCGGCAACATGAATCTTTTTTCTCCATTGTGTCTTGTTAAGAGTTAGATTCTTATTTAAATCTAAAAATGAAAGGTCATTTCTAGTATTTTCTAACCAAGTCTTTTTAGGTCTAGCTTTACATTTCTTAACATAAGTCAAATCTAATACATCTACTTTTCTAATCGGGTCATTAGAAGGCCATCATTTTATGTGACCAAACCATTTAAGGTTGCTCTATCTAATCTTATTTTCAACTGGAGCAAATAAAAACTTTTCACGTATATGCTCATTTTATATCTCATCTCTAAGAGTAAAGCCACCCATCCACCTAAACTTCCTCATCTCTGCAACACTTAATTAATAATATTATGCTTCTCCTTTAATTGCCAACATTCTACTCCATAAAGCATTACAGGTTTAACCACCATCTTATAAAATTTTCCCTTAAGTTTGAGGGGGACTTTTCTTTCACACAACAAGCTTGATACATTCATCCACTTCAGCCATCCAATTAAATTTTACTAATAAGGATTTGCATCAATGCAAAAAAATGACAAAAAATTATAATAATCAAAACATAATAATATAAATCTTATGACAAAAATGGTTTGTGATTTGGACTTAAAATGAATCTTAAAAAATATTTATTTTGGTCAAAATACATGCTATTACATGATGATATTGGCCAAGTGATCATAATCAATCATTGATGATCGGAGGGTCATAGTTGGACATTGGTGTTTGGAGGGCCATAGTCGAGTGATAGTAGTATGAGGACTGTAGTTGGGTCATGGTAGTTAGAGGCTTATATTCAGGCAACAATGGTTAGAAGATCATAGTTGGATGACAATGGCTAGAGAATCATAGATGCTCAGTGGTAATTGGTGGTATTATAGTGATGATTCAATGATGATGGTGATGGTTATTCATTGACAATGATTAGATTATGGTTTGGCGGTAGTCTGAGAGCGACGACTAGGCAATATTATTATGACAAAAAAATCTAATTGGAAGAATTATTCTTATTTCTGCTTTATGGCTTTAATAATTAACACCAAGAGCTAACTAAAATCATTAAATTATAATAAACATAAACATTCGTATCATCATTTCATATCATCAAAAGAGTTATAGACAACAATTCAATATAATTTTTTTTTTCATAACAACCCACATACATGAATAACTGGACTATCAAAATAAAACATTTTTAAACTTAAACATAATTATAGCATGGGTTTTGATTTTATTAACCCTTTTTTGCTCAACTTGATCCTTATCATTTTCAGAAAGGACATGTAACTAATAATAATGAGTAACTCATGCTTAGTAGGCTACATAAGACCAACTAAAGAATTTAATATTCATATATAAAGTAAATTGTGTAAAAAATAAATAATATAAACATGAAGTTATACAGTTCTAATTAGAGTGATATGACATTTATGTAATGTTCTATCATTAATATGATTGAAATAATATGACTAATATTAATAGTAGTCATGTGTCAATAGTAGGAAGTTGTCCAAAATAAGAAAATAAACATTACTTGGACTTTAACATTGCTACAACATAAACATCATTTGAACTTGAAGATTATATTAGAAACATAAACATCATTTGAACTTGAAGATTATATTAGAACATAACATATGATGAAGCATAATATGTAATCAATAAATCATAGCATGTTTCACATTTACATAAATATTTCTCGAAGCCTCATGATACCTCTACTTTCACTTATGCTGCTACTTGATTAGATTAGCATGATTCTCCTTATAGCCTTACTTCCAATTATACCTCTACTTATTCATCTCAAATTTGTTCATGCACGTCATACATACAAATGGATGAATTACATACATGCACATACCCTTATAGCTTCACTTATATTGCACAGAATATTAAATAGCCGCCACTTGTAACGGCTTATTTCTCCCTCCTTCCCCATATTTTTCATCACATAAACATGAAAAGCATCAATATATTAACATGTAGAATCAACATTTATCATAATACATGAATATATGAAATTTCTAATGTACGGCAAAGTTAGTAGTGTGCACGAGGTAAAACTTGTATACACATTTAACAATAACAATCTAAAAAATCATTCATGGGGAGCATTCATAGTATCATTTTGATGTATTTATTGTACTATAACAATTTTTATAGTTATCAATTTACTTATGGAGATGCTTTAAATGATATGCAAATTCAAATGTTCGATGAAAATTTATATATTTCTTATTTATGTGATTAAAATGTTTATTTTACCATATGCTAAAAATTTACATGGCAAAAACTTCAGAACTCCCCATAAATTTGTATGTGTAAAACCAAATTTGATAAAGCCCAAAAAATACCCACATATATGTCGAAATTGAAATCTAAAGCAGGATAACAGTAACTTATCTCGATTTAGACAACTTTTCCAACAGGCCAGTCAAGCAAAATAGGCTTTGAGACCTCCAAAATAAACTTTATCTCTCTAGAATTCCTTCTCATTATATCTATAACTGGCTACCTTAGGAGATGAAATGGGGAGAAGTATAATTTTTAAAGTGGAACTTGATATTTATAGACCCAACGCTATAGCGCTCCTAATAAAAAAATATCTACACTTAGATAGAGAGCTTGACACAACAATACCCATTTTCAGTCACTTAGATAGACAACCTCATGTAAAGTAGGGAAATCCTTCTTGGCGTACTACAATCAGAATTTAGATGATTATACATTTTAATATGAAATTTTTAATTCAATTATATATCGAGATTTGTGCTTATTAATTTACAATTTGATGATGTATCAATTCCATTTTTTCTTCAACAATATCAATCTTATCATGATTATTTATCAACTTTATGAATAATTATTTTGCATTCCATTTAATTTGATTGATATTTTCCATATTAAATTTACTTAGGATAACATTATAGGATACACAGTTGTTTGTGACAAATAAAAAAATTGCAAATCTTATAGCAAAAGGAAAACAAGTTATTTTTCATAATCTTATTTTCTCTCTATCAAACATTTGATTGTTGGCCTATTTACAAATAAAACATTAAAACTAAAATTGTACTCAATATATGTAAACAAAAAAATAATATTTATAACTCAATACATGTAAACAAATTAATATTATAACTTATATACTATCATAAAAATAACATCATGAGTAATTCAAACAATAATATTTTTTCCCAGTCTATAATATTTCTTAAATATTCAACAATATTGTTCAACTTCATCAAATATTTAATAAATAAAATATGAGACTAGCAAACTATAGACTAATAGTGCAACAAATATATTTGTTTGTCTTATGTGAATTATGTGAATAAATGTTAGAATCAAATAAAGTGAATGCCATGAGTAGAATGCCACAAAAAAAGGACTATAAAACAAAGGCTTGATTAATCAAGGTTGTGAAAATCGGACCAGAAAATGAATAGGAAGACGAAGAGGTTCACGATTCAACCGGTCGAACCGGATGACATAATAAAAAAATAATAATATTTAAAATTAATAAAATTAACATAATAATGTGACAATCCAACATTCATTTTCGCAAATATTAGAATTAATTTTAGCACATTTTATTGATCTTAACAAAATACAAATGCAATAATTCACCACATAGAAAACCCAAATTTAGTAAATATGAATATCAATTTCGACAAAGATGGAAACTGATTTTAGCAAAACACAAATGCAATTTCAGCACATAGGAATCCAAAATTTAGTAAATTTTAATATCAATTTCAACAATTAAGAAATCTGATTTCAGAAAACATGATACTTAGCAACATATAGGCTAAAAATATGAAAGTGTAATTTAATTTATAAATCAATAGTGTGAATATTTCAAAAGAAAATAATATTTCCTTCTATTACATGAGTAGAATGCCACAAAAAAGGACTATAAAACAAAGGCTTGATTAATCAAGGTTGTGAAAATCGGACTAGAAAATGAATCGGAAGACGAAGAGGTTCATGTTTCAACCGGTCGAACCGGATGATATAATAAATAATAATAATATTTAAAATTAATAAAATTAACATAATAATATGACAATCAAACATTCATTTTAGCAAATATTAGAATTAATTTTAGCACATTTTATTGATTTTAATAAAATACAAATGCAATTTCACCACATAGAAAACCCAAATTTAGTAAATATGAATATCAATTTCAGCAAAGATGGAAACTGATTTTAGCAAAACACAAATGCAATTTCAGCACATAGGAATCCAGAGCCAGAGCCGAAATGAATTACATGAGGGGGAACGAATGATATTTTATTAGGTTATTCCTCACATCACTCGTTCATGGTGCATTTAAAATCAACAGCTCAAAACCCACCATTTTTGAACCACGCAGTTCTTAAGAACCGGCGCTAGTTCCGTGGTTTCTAGTTTGACTGATCGTGTGGGCAGTTTTATCCCCAGTTCTATGCAAAATTGATTTTATAAGAGAGATGAACCGGCCGACCAACCGGGTTTTAGTTCAACTTGTTGAACCGGTCGATTCAATTCGGTTTTTAAAACTTTGTGATTAACAGTTGAAAAACAAAATTAACTATATCTATAACGGAAAAATATATGTAACAATTTGGATTTATTGAGGAAAAATGTCACTCTCTAAAAGAATTTTCATTTAAATTATTATTTTCTTTTGACTAAGGGTCAGTTTGGGACGACTATAGCTTTTGGTAAAGTTGATTGTGAAATTGTTATGTGGAAGTTAACTCGACTACTCTAGTTGTCAAAAATACACTTCCATTGTTAAATTTTTAAAAAGTAACGAGAAAGTACTGAAAAAAATAATAGCCAAATAAAATTATTATTATTATTTGTAAAACAAATCAATTAGAAAGCTGTTCCAGATAATATCATTTTATTAGTTCACCATCCACCCAGCTTATTTTTTAACAGGCCTGGCCCATTTTGAGCCCCACGGTGGAAACCCACATACTGTCATACAAATCTTAACCCTATTTTCTCCGAGGAAGAACGTCGAAGGCAACAGCCGGAGTCCGGAGTGGCATAGCTTCTCCTCCCTTCCTCCCTCGGCATCTCACTTGTTCACGCGGAACTCATCTGTGGCAGAGCAGTGCGTTCTTTATAGACCTTTTCAATGCCTCGGTAAGTAACATCTTTCGAATGGATTCTCGTTTCAGGATTATAATTTTGTTTACAATTTCTCAGTATTTTCATTCTGCAGATACTACTGTGACTACTGCGACACTTACCTGACGCACGATTCTGTGAGTTTTAACCCATTTTCCTCTTTTTATGCGCTCTTTCGTGTAATTTTTCCCTTCTTTTAGACGTTATTTGTCGATTCGTGGGCGTTAGCGAGCTTAGGGATTTTGCCTTCTCGGCTTGCGGCGATACGAGTGTGCCTTCAGAAGCAGCGAAGACGATGGATTTATGCACCTAAATTGTTTTATTTTTTATTTTTTTTATTTTAGGGAATGACGACCCAATTCTTTTAAATAAAAAAATTACGAGTAAGGGATCAAAAGTGGATATACAAAACCCAACAAATGGGGTCATAGCACAAAACAAAAACCATATAATCTACAAACCCAGCACTGACTGCAAAAGTAATAGAAGAGGGCAATAATTATGCGTGAGCAGGCTCAGATTTTTAAAAAATTGAGAGTATACAGAGGCATACGAAGGCACTCGTGATCCGTTCAGCGCAGCCATATCAAGAGTAGTATATGAGATCATGAAATATCTGAACGATGATGGCTTGAAGGCTGCAGGGTTGAGCACATATTCTCATCACCCAGAGCCTACAAAAATGACCTGCACTGTGAGGGAAAAATTGTCCAGAATCCACATGACGACACTTATTCAAAAGCAGCTGTCTTGAGATCGGGGGAAGAAAAGCCTGAAATAGAAACAACACATTTTGATACAAAGAAAACAAAAATGATTCCGATTCGATCTGACTATGAATCTTGATTTATCATGGTTTCCAAAAGACTGAGAAGACCAATTTGAGATTCTTGGACCATTTCTGGCAGTCTCGAATTCAGCCCTTACGTTCTATGATACAATGAACTAGGAATCACATAATGGGGTGAAGGATTTATAATTTTTCTGTGGGTGTTCTTGAAGTTTCTTTTTTGCTTTATGCTGAAATGCCATTCAATGATTCACTCCAGGGGCAATGGTAAGAGTGCCAAAATATTCCAGAGAAAGGCCTTTAGGTGGTGAGGAAGTTGGAGACGGGAAATGGTTGAGTGAGTCTGGTGGACCATGCACTGGTTGGAGTGGTTGTTGATTTAAGTCTTCCAAAGATAATGTGGGTGGGTTGCTAAGTGAGATTGGTCTGCATGAGAATGATGTAAATTATCATTGTGGGGGATTGGCAACAGAAGGGTGATTTTTTTTTGTTAGAAGCAGGAAGGGCACCAATATGTATCCCTCCATTTTTGGAGGGAGCTTTTGCAAGTTTCTTCGAAGGAGCTCCACTTTTACTTCTACCTCTTTAGGGGATTGGTCGTGTTTGTGTCATAATAATATGACAAGTTGAGTCATCATGATGTCTTCATGATGCCAGAATAAGAAGCGCACCCTTTCCAAACTCTTGTTTTTCAATCATGTTGGATTTCCTGATTGAATTTCTTTCCATCGAGGGCTTAACATTCCATTTCCATTGCTTGAACACAAAAAAGTCTCCCATTAAGAAAACAGGGACCTCTATTCCATACCAATCTTAACCTCTTGACAACAAAACTTATTAGAAAAAAATCACTTGCGAGTGTAAGAAGATTGAGGTCTCTCATGGTGCTTTCATTGTTTGATTACAATAACCATGAGAGATCCGTAGTATGGATGCTTTCCACTGGCATGTCCTACTAGTGCAAGCTCCCATTTGTTCTTTCCTTTGGTAAGGTCACTCTCAGCAAACATCACCCCCATCCACATAGGATAAGGAAAAGTTTTTTCTCGTCATTTTGGGCACACAAAAGCTCTTTTGAATTGAATAAAATTTGAGTAGACGTAACGATCATAAGATTCAGGTTTGTGATTTGGTTGGGGATTGAGGGGGATGAGGAGGGGGGAGCTATTATGGTCTACTAATCTCTTCTCCAAATGTTTTTTTTTTTGGGGTGGGGTGGGGGGAGTTGGCAAGGTCCAATTTTCGCAAAAAGTGCCTTGTGAAGGTTACAGTGAGGAGGAATAGGGAAATGAAGTGGATGTAAGGGAGAGAAAAGGGAGATGCAGTCCCTCCGATGGGAAGCTGGAGGTTGGAAAGTCATGCGCACAAGATGCTAAGAGATGGGGAATCACGTTGGTGAAGAGAAGAGGAGGGGGCATTTGATATGGGGAGGAGAAAACTTAGAAATCCTTTTGAGCCATGGATTTTTTTTTTGTTTAAAGTCTCTTAGAATGATTATAATCAATATTGATTTCTACATATCAGTCTATTATGATCTTAGGGCCTTTATTGGGGTTTGAGTACGCATGATGTAGAATAATAAGGATGCAATGCAAATGTGTGCAAAATTTTTATTTACCAGTTGATCCATAGACTAGTTAACAACACAACTAGACACTTTTGGATTAACAAGACTTATGGTTAAATTAAAGAGAAATATTTAAATGTTTTGTATGAGAAAATAAACTCTAAAATGAGGCAAGCTTATAAAATAAGAGGCTACCGTAATGAAATACTAATATGAGAAGATCACCAGGATTTTAATTATCTAATATATAATAATCGAAGATTGTTTTCTACGAGCAATCCTTTACCAGGTATTGAATCCTTCTTATTGAAAGTTCTTTATTTGTTGCACCCACTATACTCTTAAATAATCCTTCGCTTGGATGTGGAAAACATACAAATATTTTAAATGTTAAGGGTAGCAAGTGAAATCTTATTCAACAATTATCATTCTTTTCATCCACAAGGTTGAACATATAGACCACATTAATAAAAGTATGAGGAGAAGATGCATGCCTTTGGCTTGGAAAATGGGAAGTGATGGTGGGGGGAGGGCTTCATCACTTAAAGGTTGCCAAGTAGTCTAGGCTAGTTTACATGCAAAGCTAGCTAACACAAGTTGATTTCAATGCTAGTAATCAACACAAGAGAGGGCGGAAGGGGGTGGGGATTGGTGATTGGGATGATGAGGTGGCAATTTGAAAGTGTCTTGGCAAGTTAAAATAATGATGCATTGATCAAAGTGGTCAAAATAGGCAATTTGGGCTAGGAAAATGGTAGAATAGTTAGTCTACTCAAGGTCATGTGCACAAATACCTGATTCAATGACTTACTGAAAAGTTGTGATCAATTATATAGTTGAGGAGATGTCTTCCTTTTGGATGATACACACATAAGTATTATGATCAACAAGATGTGTTTATTTTTTACATTAAACCTTTAAGTTCACCGGCTAAGCTTATTGCTTTTTCATGATGCATTGGGCAAGTTCATGATTGGCCAAAAAATGTTCATTTGATACCATTTAATGATATCCTCAGCTGCTGATGATAAGGCTAAAGCATGGCACTCATGGTCTCCAAGTTTTATGTGTATTAGGAAATGCAACATCATTTCATCATCATCATTAGTTATTATCTAATTATTTAGAGTTGACTTTATGAATCCTCATTTACCTCCGTTCCGAGCTCTTCCTGTGGTGTTTAACTCATTCATCACAAATCATTTCAAACAACTTTTATGCATGTTATTTTAGGTCTATCAATTTTCCTTCCTAATTTTTTGACCCCACTTTCAACTATAACTGTCAAATGGATGCAATTTCTATATATTTTTTCCACATAAACAAATCAGTTGTTGGCAAATATATATATATTTCTTATAAAAAAGGGTGATAATATTTGTTAAAACTTAGAGTTGGTATTAATTTGTCAATTTTAAGATATGCTGATTGATTATTGAGAATCTTATGGTTTTTAGCTAGCTTGAGCTGTCATCATTGTATTTTTGTATTAGCTTCTTCTGTGGGGAGACATCGTGCTGTCAAAGATATGTTTCTTCTTGTCCCTACCCTTAATCTTTCTCTATTTTATTTTTATTTCATGTACTTCAACCAAAGCAAATACTTTCAACTTATCTTGGACATCTTCTGTCATTTTAACGAAAGTAATCTAATTGTCTTTTATCCTGCTAGAATTTGTTATAGAGTACTCCATTTATTTTACATTATAGTGATTCCTGTTACCACTGACAGTTTTACTTCTGCAGCCTTCTGTTAGAAAGCAACACAATGCTGGCTACAAGCACAAGGTTTTCTCATGATAGATGAAAATTCCCTTTCTTACCCTCCCTCACCCGATTCCAGGAAATGATTCTTATGACCACAAATGCATTTGCAGGCAAATGTGCGTTCTTACTACCAACAATTTGAGGAGCAACAGACTCAAAGCTTAATAGATCAAAGAATTAAGGAGCATCTTGGCCAGGCTGCAGCTTTCCAACAACAAGTTGGTGCAAGCTTTAATCAACACCTTATGTCGCTCCAAGCTAACCCTCAAAGACCTCGTCTTCCTCTTCTTCCACCCCCAGTTTTGCCAATGGGAGCTCCTCAAGCGCTAATGTCCCCACCACTTGTTCCGGGACTTAGACCTCCAGTTATTCCAAGGCCGATTGCAGGTGCTCCATGTAGATTTGAAGTATTCCTCTTTTATCATTCTGTATATTTGAGAGCATTTCTGAGAAGTTCAAGTCATATTTAGCTGTTCTAACGGTTTCAAAGCAAAGAAAATTATGTTACATATTCTATGCTAGATGAGCAGCATCCGTAGAATTGCGTTATTTATTTTTTATCACTTATGACTGCATACATTCATAGCTAAATGCCTTCAATTCAAATTTGAATTACATTGAGTTTTATGCCTTGAGTTTAAATTAGGCCTTGCCCGAAGTACAAGACATGTTACTGTTTCAAATTAAAAAAATAAAAAAATTTCTAGAAAAAAATTGCGAATGATTCTTATTCATTTACTTGTGCAAAAGAGTAGTTGACTCGTTAAAGCGAACTTCTTCTCATTCATGAGAATAGTATTGAAGTAGTTTCCGTTTTGTTGGTACCTACTAAAGTACAAATTGAAATGCTCAAGTTTTTTCTTATGAAATTAGTTGTAATTCATTTTCAAATATGTAATTATGACATTATTTATTAGGACTTGTGACTGTGAGAAGCAATCCTTCTATTGATCACGTGGTTTCATAACGTGGTTTCATATTCGGGGTACAAACCAATGGCATATCGCTGAAATTATTGGGGGACGTTACTAGCTGCCATCCACTAAGAAGAAGCTAGAAGCCTACATAAAAAAAAAGAATGATTCCATTTTATGAAACTGGGCCCCGAATATATCTCTTTTTCAATGAATTTTAAGGTAAGAGAATCCATTTTTTGTTATTGAACTTAATAGTTAAAAGGAAGGCTAACCCCAAAAGAGTAGTATTATTCTTAAAATTATCTTAAACTTCTAATTTCACCTCAAGCACCTATTTCACTCATTCTACATGTATTACTTGTGTTGGTTTTGTGTTATCTGCTCCATGCTTCTTTTGCACAGTAAAGTCAGAAGGTTAAATTCAATAGCATTAGGGTTAGTGGTCTCGATGCTTGATCCCATGCAAGATTGAAACCGACCCAAAAAAATTGTGCTTTGTCAAATTTTTTGTCATGTCCTGGTCTACAATTTGAGGTCTTATGTAATTTTGGGACAAATTTAGGTGGACTCATAAACTAAAAAAGATCCAACATTTTTTTTTTTGAAATCATGCTTTTTGGCATATTAAATATCATTTTTAGGAAAATTTTTTGAAGATGATCAGTGGAATGTGTTTATTACGTAGTACCTTGGTGTATTGCATTGAATCCTTTTGGTATAAATAGAGGCTCCTCTATTTAATAATACACAACAAGTTATTTTCTCTCTGGCATGATATCAAAGTATGGTTAATCCTATCACTAGCCACTACCCTTTCCTCTTTTCTTATTTGCTCTCTGGCATGATATCAAAGTATGGTTAATCCTATCACTAGCCACTACCCTTTCCTCTTTTCTTATTTGCATAATGAGCATTCAAACTTACAAACCACAAACCACATCCCATATCATGATACCTCATCCAAAATTGCAATGCTCCAGCACCGCAAGCCTTCAAATATTCTCACTCATGCCTACTGCTATGATCACACACTCGCAAGCCTGCTTATGCCTAGCCTTCACCCCATGGCCTGCTTCCATTTTAGCACTTGTTCATGGTTCTAGCACTTGCAGCGCTGTTGCTAGACCCATGATTGCGTCACCGCTTGCTTTCATCCTAGTGTCGTATTTCACTCTTAGCACCAACAGGATCACCAACATATCATGTCCTGCACCCACGTGTCTACTTGAGACTTTTGTAGTCAACTTCTGCTTACCTACACCTCACTCCTGTGACACACCCCACGGACTCGTACTTATTCGTTGCCCACCATTACATGTGCTTGCTTCATTCTCATGCCATTGACCCACTGTTGAGAGCTTAATCTTTCTTGCATTACCCACTCAATGGTCTATCAAGTATTCTATTCTTTGTGCCCCTCTTCTCACAATATTTGGTATCTCCATCTCTTATTAATTTAAAACCCTAATCCACTACAATACTACCATCAAATTTATTGGTAACAATTATCTGCAATGGTCGAGGGTATTTACTTTTGTTAAATTCAGAGAATTGGAGAGGGAAAAAAAGCTTTAATTTTATTGCACAAAACTATCCCTGTTTATATATCTATACAAGATATCTTAATAACGAAACAAATAATTGCAGAATTATGCATTATTGCCCTAATATAATCCTTCCTAAATCAACAACTGAAATATGGAAGGAGATTGATGTGATCTAGGTGAGCCTCCCACGGATCCTCATGATGGCCATATGATCAAGAGCCAAGGGACGACTGGATGGCTTTGACGGTATTTGACACTTCTCCTCAAGTTGGGGAATACATATATGTCATTCCCAGCTTGGTTATCAGTCCAAGTAAGGTTGTATTGATTATAGATAGGATAACTCCAATAAGGGAAGGTCGAAAATGAAGGCAATGCAGTAGAAAGGGGAAAAAAAACTAGGGACCGCAATAAAAAAACATATCTTAAGCGGTTCAACAGTCGGCCCGCATATCTCCTCCCGTCCGATTTAGCCAGCCTTCGACCCAATGCAAATTAGTTGTCCGACTCCACCCGAATAGGCTATTGTTCAATTGGCCCTGTACAGGCGCATGTAAGGCCTATGATCCCTCTGGTCTGATTCAAGGAAGGAGTGCAGGTATTGAACTCCTGGTTGACCCAACCCTAGACCCGAACGAGATGGAAATCTCGGCTATTTCCAGATGTACGCAGGAGGCGTTCACTTTACTACGCTTGGGTTTTCCCCCAATGCACGCAAGAGGAGCCTTCTCGCTCGATCTCTCCTCGGTCTTGGATGCATGAAGGAAGCAAAAGAACCAGTATTCCTCAAAATTATGGCAATGAAGGTTGGTGGTGGGAGCCTATGGCGGCGTCCATGCCGACAATGAAGGCTGGTGGTGAAAGGAGATAAGGGTATGTCTCCTTGGCCTGCTACTATGGTAAGAGAAGCATCAGTAATGATGATTTTCTTATCACTTGGGCAATGAATGTAGTTGATGAAGTGGGTAGTGGAGTATGTAATGTGAACTGTGGCTCCCGAGTCAATGATTTATACACCTTTCAAATAATTTCTACAGACACTTAATCCAAATGGACATATGAAACTTACCTGAAAGTACAAGAGAAGAAGATGTAGGTGATTTTTCAAGGGACATCAAGAATTGTTTTAGCTTATCAATATCTTCTTTGTTGATCTCTTTGAAGCCGAACTGCGTTTCTAGATAATATTAGCTTGTGATGTTCCACTCTGTCCACTTCTTTGATTCCACTCCTTATGGGCTTTCTATGTAACTTCCATCATATCTTGATTTCTTGGAATAAATGCACCAAAAGGCGTCTTTGTCTTTAGGTTTTGAGGAATCTTTACCTCTTTATTTCCATGACGCCTCTTTGACTATCACCATTGCTGAACCTTCAACAACCTTTGATTCTAGCATTATCCCTCGTCGGTTTTCCTTAGCACGAATGAGAGAAGTGATCTCATTTAGTGAGAGTATCTCCTCTTTGCTAAGGATCTGAACTCTAACCTGGTCAAACTCTGTATTTAATCCTACAAGAAAGTCATACATTCTATCTTTCTCAATAAAGCTTTTTTAGGATAGTAACATCTTCTGGACACTTGGTCTATATGCATCTTTAGTGATCAAGTTTTTGCCACAAGCTTTGAAGCAGAGGCATATTTAGTCACGATCTTGCTTCCTTGTTTTGTGCTTCCCATCTTGACTTCAACTTCGAAGATTTGTATAGCATCAGACTTCGAATATTCTTTCTTTGATGATAGAGCACACTCTTCAATCAATTGAAGTACATAAATCATATGAAGTATAAATAGTATTATTCTATTTAACAAGTATCATATAAACCAAACTTATAAATGATATATGATATTTTGTGCCAAATATTAAAAAGAGAAATCATTACCAACAAGTAAACAATAGAGCACGCATGAGATGTGACGAGCAACACACGATATTAACTCATCACTGAACCAATCCTTACTTAGACCAAGAATGACTGAAGAGCATACATCGCATTTTGCAAAGCAACAATGATGTGCGCACTTTACCACTTTGATTTTACTTTGCAGTGTAAACCCACTTTTTTGAGGTGTGATGAATAAACTTACCACTTTGATCAGCATCACAATTAAAAAGGTGCTGCTTTTTGTTTTTAACAACAATGCTTCCTACCCCGTGATTCAATCTGTCTCTCAATCCTACATTCCTGTTTCCTATTCCTCCCTTTCATTTTCGGCCTCCATTTATCCCTACCTATTTCTATTTCATATCTCCTTATTCCTTGTGAAATTTCAAGATTTGTTTCTTTTTCTCATCCCATTCAATTTTTCTAATGGTTGGCTGGAAAGAGGAGCCTTCCAAGTTCCATGGTTTAATGGCCTATGCATATCGTGCTCCTGCATCCGTGTGTACTTGGTAAGAGCAATTGGAACTAAGCTAGCATTCCGGAGGTTCCCAATGAACATGTAATGCTGCAGATTTGCAGTACACCTCAATTAATCCCTTAAGATAGAGTTTTGTTTAAGATTTCTGAAATTTGGATGTATTTATTATTAATCTGGCACGTAAATACAAACTCCCTTGATGCGGGAGCTTGATCAGTTTGGTCCAGCCAACCGCTCGTTTTAAATTTTATATATATTTTAAATGTTTTTGGTAATTTTCTTAAAATTTTTTCCTTGTTATTTTCCTTCTAGGAGTCTCTTGAGGTAGCCTTTTATTATAAATAAGAACTACCTCCCTCTCTTTTGTAATAAAGAAACTTAGAAATTTGTCCCAGATTTCTCTCTTCTTTGTATCCTGGCTGAGCCAGGTGGTGGTTCCTATTTCATCCAGGCTCCAGCGGCCACAGTAGGTTGTTCCACACGTTGTTCTCTCTCCTTCTTTCTTCTTCATCAGGAAGTGAAGAAACCTTTATCCATCTGCTGTTCGGTCACTTCCCAGAC